CACTCGCTGCTACCAGAAGAAGTGTGGTTACTGAACCTGGGTACCGCGTATGTCAGTAGATCGAAATTACCCCTGGAAGGTGTCGGGCCAGACCAAAGAGAAGTTTTATTACAAGTACGAGATATCAGTTACAGGCGCACAAGCGTAGAATTAAGTCGATCACAAAGGGGAACGAAGTAGATCACCGGTGAGACGAAGTAGATTGCGGGAGACAACGAATCGCGTCAGACGGCACAGTTGAACGCGGACCCCGATCATGGGATTCTCCGGCTTATATACCGTTCTTCCTGCAATTGCTATCATGAGCCACCATCTCCGACATGGGAATGTAAGACGAAATTGACCATCGTAGATCACATCTACGGTGGGGAAAGTGGCGGGAGGACTGGTAGGTTGGGAACGAGGGAGTCGGACTCCTGTCGGAGATGCGATCTCCGCTGGGAACGTCGATTCCCGACTTCGCGGCGGGGTGTCATCGAAAGATGACACATCAATTTTATTTATTTTATTTTGTTTTTTTTTTTTTTTTTGAGTTTTATGGTTTGGGAAGGGGGTAGGGGAGCAAGGCGAGGAATCGCCTTTACAATAGGAAAAATGCTAACTCGGGGACGGGAAGAACTGAAGGCTTTAATTTTAAGGGAATGTTTCCTACTCATGTGCGACTAAAAGATTTTAAACTTAACTCTTCTAGTGGGGCCTTTTTTTGCGGACCAGCAATTTTCCATTTGTCGGGTCACTGAAGTCGACACCTACAACTGACATATAAATAGCTGCACAATTAACTTCCCGGACTTCGAGGGCCGGTATTTCACAGGGTTAGCTACTTTGATTCCTTGCGATCTTGCTGCGGCACAAACTTTCTTTGCGGACCAGCAACTTTCCCATTTGTCGGGTCACTGAAGTCGACACCTACAACTGACATACCACATAGTTGCACAATTATATCTCCAAAATTCGAAGCCAGTATTTCACAGAGTTAGCTACTTTGATTCCTTGCGATCTTGCTGCGGCACGAAAAGTGCAAAAACGCATAATCGCACC